CATTTTTGCTTTTTATTCTTTCTRGAAAAGGCAAATTCTGCAAATCTGGAGCTGTTTGAACGGATCTGTTTGGTTGGACAGTGGGCACAATCTTCCCACTGTCGGGTTTTTCAACACAGAGCTGCACATTACTGGAAGTTGAAACAGGGATTGTTTTCTGGACAGAGACAGGGACTGTTTTCTGGATAGAGACAGATTTTTGAGTTTCTTCCGTGGAAGGACTCAAAATTGGAAAATTTGACATATCAAAAGCATGTGAAACCTCGTTTTGATGTGTTAGTTCTTCGACGGTTTCACATATATCATCATTGACTTTTGAACTCTCCTCACTCAATATGGTCACGGCTTTGATATGTTCTTTACCCTTAGGGGTTTCCGTGTCACTAGGCAAAGTTCCTAAAGGTCTACCCTTGAGATCAGCGGCAAATTGGCCCAGTTGGGTTTCGAAACTCCTTAATGTTGCATTGGTTTGGTTTATAAAACCTTTAAGTAATGATTCGAGTGAACCATTACCGTCCGATACATTTTGCCTAGGCATGTATGAGTGTGAGGATTGTCCATTTTGGTAATTGTGCGAAGCACCTTGCCCATATCCCGGGGGATTTTGTGGTCGATTTTGGACTTGAGTAACCCCAGGGGGTTGAAGTCCAGGATTTCCGGCCCAAGAAAAATTGGGGTGATTCCTCCAATTTGAATTATATGTGGGAGAAAATGGGCTATTTCTAGCGTGACTCCCAACATAGTTCACCGAGACAGGATTTCCGGGGCAATTCTCATAAGAATGGCCCTCACCGCAAAAGACACAAGATTCAGACATGGATGGTTTGGACATAATATATTGAACTTGATTATTCTCTCCATTCAAACGTAAATTGTTTTTAACCAAATTAGTTAAAGCTACAATTTGAGCATTTAAAGCAGAGATGGCATCAATTTCATGGATACCTGAAGCAGACTTAGAAACAACAGCACGAGGATTTGACCATTCTGTATTATTGTTTGAAATTCATTCCAGAATGTCATGTCCTTCGTTGTAAGTCTTAGCTGTGAACGCTCCACCGGCCGTTGCGTCAAGAATAATTTTAGCGGAATTGGAGAAGCCATTATAAAATGTCTCCAATTGAATGAAATGAGGGATTCCGTGGTGAGGACATTTCCGTAGAAGGTCTTTAAATCTCTCCCATGCATCCGAAACCGCTTCATCTTCTTCTTGTCGAAACGTCATAATTTCATTTCTAATTTTTACATTCCTCGTCGGAGGAAAGTAATTTTTCAGAAATTTTTCCGCCAAATCATTCCAAGTTAGGATCGAGTTTGGTGGTTGAGAATTTAGCCATGCTCTAGCTCTATCCTTCAATGTGTAAAGGAAAAGCGTTAAGCGTAAGGCTTCTTGTGTAACTCCGGGAATTTTAAAATGATCCGTCATTTCGATAAAAGATTTTAAATGAGAGTGCGGATCTTTCGACTATAATCCCCCAAACTGACCCATTACGGAAATCATTTGGAACATTACGGGTTTTGGTTCAAAAGTTGTGGCTGTCATTTCGGGCCTACCAATTCCCGCGGCCAACTGACCGAATTCGGGGGTTGCGTAGTCCCGTATGCCTCTATTTTTATCATCGGCAATRTTAACCGTGGCCTCCCGTGGAGGTGGATTATCCCCCATGGTTTGGTTACGATTATTTCTACCTCTTTTACGTCTCCTAATGGTTCTTTCTAGTTCAAGATCAAGAGGTAAAAGTTCACCGTATTGTAGCCTTGGCATACAACACGGGAAGTACGAGTGAAACAAAAGAACAAGGCTTAAATGAAAAACTCAAAATCTCAGGATAAAAATCACGTTACCTTTCCCCGGCAGCGGCGCCAAAAACTTGACAGGCTAGGATCGTTCGTGTTCTCCTAGTGGGCAGAATATCCCCACAATGACGGTGCAAGTGCAAGTGCACGCTGACACTATGATCGCTTGCAAGTAATAAAGTGGTACAAAGTACCGAGATCGTTCCCACGGAGAAAGGACGTTTGAGATTTAGAGATTTTTCATGAACTTCTTGCACGAGTTTCGAGGTGTAAAAACTTTGGATTTTTGTTTATAAAAAGACTAAAATAGGACCGACTATCTAATTAACGAAATAAAATTTTAATATTAAATGATGGGCATGGGTGCAAGTGTTTCTTAAGATAAAATCAACAATAAAATGGTTAGACTTTTACGAGTTGTTTATAAAAGTTTCGATCTCTCGAAAGTGAACTTTTATAACCGGGCCTTATAAAAGTCCATAAGGTTTTTACGTTTACCACTTCGAGACTTGCCGATCTAGCGAAAAAGTAAAAGGAATGAAAATTTCACCCAAATCTCTTTGTGATGAAACACCTATTGCTTAACCCCTAGCTAAATGCATGCAAAATTCGCGTCTCCGCGTAATTATACGACCCTCTCGAGTGCAATGTGCATCACTTAAGCCGTATTTCGGATCCGCCCATCTCTGGGTCTAAGATCTAATATTAACAMTTCAAAGTGATTAGCTTATCCGCATTTTAAACATCGTCCTAAGTGACCAAATTACGAAGTGATAAAAGATAAAAACACCCAAATATTATAAAAACATCCTAAGTTAAACTCACACCCATACAAGTAATTTAGCTAGACATAATTAAAGAGATAAAATAATACTGAAATATAAATTGCATTACTGTAAAACTAAATTACGAGTACAAGGAAATAAAATACTAGAAATTAAAGACATGAAATTAAAGACATAAAATTAAAGACATAAAATTAAAGACAATAAATTAAAGACATAAAATTAAAAAGCATTTATAATATTACTAAAAGAGATGAAACATATTAGAGAGTAACAAAAGATGGTGTTTTGTTGGTGTTTGGCACACCTTGGCACACTTCAAAAGAGCTCTCCCAAGCTTCTTTATATAGGGGAGAGAAGAGGGGGTGAAGGACACCCAATGAATACCCAAAGGTAATTAGTACTACTTAAAGAAAATACAAAAGAAAATAAAATACAATAAGGAAGACAGCTCATAACAGCTGGAGGAAAAATATCTGGAGGAATCTTCAAGCTGCACGTTTCCCAAGAAGCTCTAGCCAGGCTGGAAGACTTCCCACAATGGTGCCACAGTGGGCATAGCTGTCAGAAAAATACAGATTTTCGGAATAATACTTCTTCCTTTGTGTTTCAACATCCTTTTAAAACTTTTTGGAATAAAAGATAAAAACAAGAAAATTGGGTATTTAAAAATAGCAAAAAGGGAGGAAATAAATAGGAAATAACTCTTAAAAATAAGAGTTATCAGGATGTTCTTTCGGGGTTAGCACCAAGCCTCGAAAAAAGGGAAATTTACTTTGGTAATGTTCCTCCTAACATCAAGGAGGCCATCCTAGAGTGTCTTCCATTCACGCTTGACTCGTTTCTTGTCCGATACTTGGGGGTCCCTTTATCTCAGGCTCGGTTGAAGCTTTGTGACTATGCTCCGTTAATTGCTATGGTGAAGGGTCGCATTCTTAATTGGAAGTCCAAATTTCTGTCTTTTGAAGGGCGTTGTCAACTTATCATATCGGTCCTGCAATCCCTCCAACTTCATTGGATGTTGGTGTTCTTATTCCCGTCTGGGGTAATCCATGATTTAGAATCTATTTTTAGGAAATTCCTTTGGGCTCCAAGGGACGATCCTCGAGGTAGATGTAGATTAGCTTGGGATGTGGTCTGTCGACATCTTGCTTCTGGAGGCCTTGGGATTAAGTGATTGTCCACTTGGAATAGAGCTATACTTGCTAAACATGTGTGGGATATTGTGAGACATCAGGATTCTCTGTGGGTTTATTGGGTGTATAGCCATTATCTTCGCTCCTCTCACTTCTGGCTGGTTAGGAAAAGCTCAAATTGGTCGTGGGTCTTTCGCAAGATGTTGGACTTATGTAGTCAATTGCGAAGATTTTTGTTTTCCCAGGTTAGTGATGGTCGGGATACAAATGCTTGGGAGGATGGTTGGCTTTCCTGTGGTCATCTTTCGGCTTTTATCTCTTACCGGTTCGTCCATTTAAGTGGTTTCTCTACTCTTACGACGGTTCGTGATCTTCTAATGAGTTGGGACGGTGTTCGGCCGGATGATTGGACTAGTAGGTTTACTGAATTGCATTCTTCTCCATTACCTTTGTTGATTGATTCAGTTCGTGACAGAGTTCTTTGGGGGGAAGATCTTACTTCTGCTTCAGACTTCACGGTGAGTAATGCTTGGGATTTATTAGAGGGATCTCACTCGGTTGTTCCTTGGCACAAAGCGGTTTGGTTCTCTGGCCATATCCCTAAGCATGCATTCTGTTTGTGGCTTGCTTGTCAGAGGCGTCTTCCTACACAAGATCGTATGCTTTGGAAGGATGATCCACCGGATCTGGAGTGCTCGCTTTGTAGACTTTGTATGGATAGCCATTCCCACTTATTCTTTTAGTGTCCTTATGCTCGTGAAGTTTGGGATAGTATCTTGCACATTACGTCCTTGACGGATATGCTTTCTTCGTGGTATCTTATTGTTATAACCGGGTTTCAGACAATCTGGGTTGAGGTAAAATTATACGTGATTAATATTTGAATATCTAATAGTATGCATGATAAAATAATATACATGGATGATATATGTGCAAAGACATGATGAA